TCTGCCCCCCTTGCCTTCACATCGTTCCGGCGTCCCTGACAATGATTAATAAAAAGAGTTTTCTTTAAAGTTTGCAAGGCATGGGTCTTAGTTGAAAATAGTATGGAAATCCAAGTTTCATACTGTCACTAATTGCAATTTTCATACTTATGGCAATAGTAAGGATAACTATGCCTATGGATTTAATGAATAATGATGCCTGCAATCGCAAATTTGATAGGCAATTAGGCATGGCATGAATTTCACTATTTTTCCAGTCACTGGAAAAATAGTGAAATATCACTATTTCAGTACTGATCGCCATAATATATCCATAGCATGAAAATTGCAATTACAGATCAGAATGAGAATAAAACTTGACCTTGGGTGAAACAAACAGTGAAGTTTATATTCTTTTGCTCTTTGAAATAATCTATTTCCGGCATGCAATTTGAAAAGGCTGAAAACTGTAATTATAAAACAAATGAAATTTATATCTTCACCTTGATGTAGCCAAGATATGGTCTAAAATCAAGACAAAAACTATAACCAGCGTAGGTAGTATTTTAAATTAAATTGTGGTTCGCACTATTTTGAAAAGGGACCTTTCTGTGAGATTAGAGGAGGATAGCAACGGCTGAAGACCATGTGTGTGGCCGACATACCACGCATGAATAGGGGGTCTTTGAAATTTGAAACCCAGAAATGCCATTTCCTGCATTCTGAGCATCCAAATTTGCTCTAAAATTTATGCTATTAACTATACTTGTATTTGAAATAAAAGAAGGAGAAAACGCACAAAAAGTTAAAAAAAATATTAACCGTAATTTATCATTACTAATTAGAGGGGGATAGCAATGGCCGAAGGCCACGTGTGTGGGGCATACTACTCAGAAAATTTTTGAAATTTGAAACCCAGAAATGCCATTTCCTGTATTCTGAGCATCCAAATTTGCTCTAAAATTTATGCTAACTATACTTGTATTTGAAATAAAAGAAGGAAAAAAAACACACAAAAAATAAAATAATTATTAACAATAATTTCTCATTACTTAGTGGTGAAAAAACGTAACAGTTTAAATCGATTTTGTTAAACAAGGACAAAGGATAAAGCCTAAAACTTACTTTCCGTTTATTTATTTGTTTTTCTTCACTGGTTTGTTTGTATAGATTTAGCAAAAAGGGACTTTTCCTGGGGGGGGGGGGGAAAAATA